GTTGTCACGATCTCCCATCGGCTGTACAGTTATATTGCTGGCAGGCGGCCTGGTCAAACCAGCAAAGAATAAGGCAATTGCCAGCGTTGCGAGCGCACCTCTGGATTCAAACAACCAGGTGCAGGCCCCTTCGGAGGGCCGACAACTTGAGCCTTTCCCTATTTGGTGTCTGGGCTGATTTCTGACCCCATCCTAAAAGTTACATAAACTTTTAGCCTCCTATTATGACAGCTCCTAAGAGCTAACCACAAGAACGCCAAGAGTGTGTGGTCATGGGCTGCGCAGGACATCAGTTGTAAACACAGAAACGTCGATGAGTGGCCCGGCCAAGTTCACACCTCAGCCACGAAGTGAAGGCCAGAGTGAAACCAAGCCAAAGTCACGTGTCTTTAAAACAACATTCACTACGCTCAAGTTGGATTTCCACAACAACTGTTGTGCACTACGCGATATTTCTATGACGAGACCATAGCTCACCCAAAACGGAAAATCCCCACATAAACTTCTACATCACATCCGACACGACTTAAATGAGGGTTGGAATCAAAAAAAGTGGGGACGCATATGGTCACGAACTTGTACTCTGTCTCTATTTATATAGCATCTACTTGTCTCTTGCTGGTGGCCTGCCGTCCATTGCTCCACAGGCAGGGCATCGGACCTGGCGGCTTTGTGGGCAAGCGACGGCTTCGAGGCGAACCGTCCAACGGCGTCTTCACAAAAGGGGCCTCTACAAGCCGCGGAGAGCTTGAGGAAGAATACTGAGTGACATCGAACTATTTCGAAGAAAAAAGAGTTATTGCTGTTCATGGCTAGCCCCTGTGTCTGAACCATTGGTGTGCTTTGAAGCTGTGAACAGCGGAAGCTAGTTTAGAGTCCAGACCGAGGGAAGATTCCATGCACGAAACCTGGCTTTTATCCGGGTTCCGTGTCCGCCAGACCCGGAAACCAAATGGATCTGCCGACCATTGTTCCCACCACCTGCCAACATCTGACGCAATGCTTCGGAAGTGTCGGGCCGAATCGCGAAAAAAAACAAAAAGACAATTCAAAGGACACTTCGGAAAACAAAAGCAATACACAATTGGAAAATATAGAACACAAGAAAACACTGAAACTCAACAAAGAGTAGCATGTTTCTGTTTTTTCCTGGGCTATGTTCCGCAATATTTTCGCGGCGAGCCTCGTGCTCGGACTGGCTCCAGCTTTGCTCGTTTACGGACAAGGAAGCAAAGATTGGTCGACAAGAGCGCCTCTTCGCATTGATTGTCAGTGTTTGAAAATCTGTTTGATGTGCGCCGAAGTTTCAAAGTGATTTGGTGACTTTTCCAAATAACACCTGATGTCGCATGCTGCGCGCCCCTTAGCTGAAGAAACCACTCTCCGAAGAAGCCCCTAAAGGTTTTAAAGTCAAAATACCCAGGGAAATGACAGTTGCAGCAAGAAGGGTTGTCGGGTTTCGGTCGCAGTTTTAATTTTTTCTGGGTACCGTTCCAGGGCTTTTCAAGTCTATATTGAGCTTCTAAGGCAATTCTTAGGTTTGGAATCTTTTAGACCCATCCTTGAACCGAAAACCCGATAAGACCACCCACGACGTTACAGGCGGTCTCATACTTGTACCATGGATCATGCACGTTCGTAAGCCCAATCAATCCCGAAACCCTCAAAGGATAAACCCTGAACACATCAACCTCTGCACCTGCAAAGCCTTCCGAATAATATTTAGGGCTGTCCCAGCGCAGTCTCTGTGAGGATCACCCTTCCAAGATCTTGTTGAAGTCGGGGCTACTGCTGGCATGAATGTGTCAACAACACCGTAAACCCTTCAGGCTTCTGACAACTGTAGCGTAGGGGCGTTAATAATTAGAATAGGGTTTTGGGCCCAATTATGCCAGATATATTATAAGGAACCCCCAAAATAGTATAGATAATTATTTAGGCCCCTATATTCGTGAATCCTTGCAGGGGGAAAACGCATCCTACACCTCAGCAGCACAAGCGAGTCTGGCAGGGCCCCATCGAGGCTCAAACCTTCAAGCTCGGGAATGCTTTGTGGCACTTCGCAAAGTGCCTATAGTCGCCATTGTAGTTCCTTTTTTTTGGTTTAGCCAAAAAAAAATATATATATATATATATATAATACTGTGGATTTTAAAAGGTATCCCCCCAAAGGAACTACAATGGAGACTATAGGTCTCTTTGGAAAACTTATACATAAGGGCTCTACAGGGTTGTATAGGTTTAGGGGTTGAGGGTTTAGGGGTTCAGGGGCGACGAGCTAAGGCTGCTAAGGGCCAGGGTGGTATACAGGAATTTATGTGATTTCGGGTCTCTGGCGGTGTACAGAATCTTTAAACAAACTCATTCGAAAGTAAACTGCGACATTAAGTGCAAAAGCCAGTGAATCATCGAGCCCGCCTGCGTATGTGTGTGTGTACATCGGTCTGTCTCGCTGTCTACGGTTTCATACAACTTTTTGCTGTGGGCGGAACTGAATTTGCCTTACTTGCGGTAGTTTACTATTGCACGAACTGCGTGGAAAAGCGTTCGTCAGATTCATCTGCCCATTTTATCAACACGCTACCCCATGTTAGGTCCGATGAACCACACAGCACAAGAGAACCAAGCGTGGGATTCAGCTTCGCGCTGAACTGTACCGCAAAGTCGAACAACTAGGCGGCTGACGGATGGGTCAGATGCCGCCCATTCTTCGTAGTTCTCCGGCACCCGGCACTTTGTACACTTTGAGCAAACACATTCCAGCGGGATGCCGGTCTGTAAAGCGTGTGTTTCAAGGCGGACATGAGATTTCAAGCATCGAGACATGCCTCCTTCCAAAATCTTCCAGACCTGCAACTTCTGCTGGAGTTCGGGATTAAGTTTAGAGTTTAGGCGCAAGGCGTGAGTATAAAACGGGCATGTGTAGCCGTAACCAGCTCATCCCCAAGTAGGAGTCTCAACCCGACCCGTAGTCTTATGCACCTTCCACTAAGCCCGCCTAAACTTGAACCGATGTACCTCTAAACCCATCTAAACCTAAAGTCCATCCCTCAACCCCAAGCCTACAACCCTATAACTTGCCCTATTACACTCGAGCCCTGAAAGTACGTACAGGACCAACTCAAGACTTGATCCTTTTTGTTGCGGTGCGCATGCGCCACTGTTGAAAGTGAGACTGGCCGTTTGTGTGTCGGTTTTGCTGTGATCTCCTGGAAGATATTTCGGGCAATAGAGAGGAAGCGCCCGGCGTCTATTACAAGGCGCATGGGTCGCTATGGATAAAGCTAATAAACTGAATCTGAGCAGATTAGACCTCACTCCTTGGGATGATTGATTCGAGTCAATATACTTGCGAAGGCCTCAATATATGACGATCATTCTTCAGACTCTGCAGCGACCCCAGACACAAGACTGCACAGAACATGACCTGAACCTCCACCACTGCATGTCAGCGGTCTAAAACAGTATCACGCTCTTGGTACTTGGGTGCTGCCTATGATGGTTTAGCTGGAGGGAGGTGTTCCTCCCTTTTCTTACAGGAAATGTTTAGGCATTCTCGACTTGGACTTAGGGGTGACCGAGGTACCATCGAACCTTTAGAACTTATAGAGCTGTTCTAGAAAAAGTACCTCATCTTCTCCACTTCGGTCCTACCATTGTCGCACACGGATACTCTCCAGCATGGCTCAACTACCCCGCCCTCAACTCTGGACGAAGCCATGCCCGAGGTCACAGCGTCGACAAGCTGCTACACTCTACCCGATGCTGGCCAGCCTGCAATGTTCGCAAACCTCAGCATGTCGCTCGAAATATCAGCCCAAATCCCGAAGGAGTCATCCTGAGCATCACTTGCGTCTAAATCCTCATCTTCGATTGCTGGGAGGCCGTCGGCAAAACAATCGTGCTGGTCTGCTTCCCTTGCGTCAAAACGATGAGTCCTGAACCCTAACATTGGCACAAAGCCTGTACCAAGCTGCAGCAGCACTGTCATGGCATGAGTATGTTTCTTATTCCAAGCATGTCCGGCCCCAGACCACCGTAAGCTAGAGTGTAAACTCCTGCCCCGGTCTGCAGCCCTGGCATTCAAATATCTACAGTATTGTAACAAATTCGAAACGCTTTCCACTTGGCGAGAGATGGATGGCAAGGCCGGAGGCATTCGACCTCAATGACCTCGAAAGGGGAAGCCACCAGCGATTTTGTACGAAACATGGCTGGCACCTCAATTCACGACAGGCGGCTGGTCAGCCATACGCGAATGCCAAATTCACCAGGGTCAGTACCGCAAAAATCGAGGCGCACTGCTGCCTGCCACAAGGAGGGCCACCTTTGGCCAATTCGCTACAGAAGTGCAAAGCCGGAACTCGTCGAGGCATGACTTGACGATTGGCTTCACTGTGGGTTCGCGGACGAAGCCCTGAACCCCATGCAACTATATCTATATCGAAATCTATGTGTATACCTCTCTCTCTCTCTACAATAAATGCATGTGTATGTATATATATATATAGAATGTAAGTATGTGTGTATGCAGGTAGATAGGCATGTATGTATGTATGTATGTATGTATGTATGTATGTATGTATCTACGTATCCACGTATGTATGTGCAAGTACGCACGCAACAACTGTACATGCGTGCTTGTCTGTTGAGGCTCTTGTGCTTTGCACTGCATCGCGCTGAAAAATCAGATGGCGCGACTCTGCTTCAAGTCGCACCAGCATGTAGTCAGATGAGGCCATCCTGAGATACTGCAAAAGGAAATGGTGATAACCCCGAGCCATGAAGACTTGGACCGCACACCATTTCACGTGCAGTTTGCAGCCATATTGTAACGAAAACGGACACAAACATACTAACATACACATCTAGAAACAGCTCGATCGCTCTGGCAAGCTTTGTGTGCATGCGTCAGTGAGAATGCAGCAATGCTTCGAATGGTACTTTCAGACAAGCAGCCGACCGCTTGGTATCATTGCCCGCAGTGTTGGTACGGACTGTCACATCGTTCTCCTGCTGTTCGCGAAAATTGACAGCATCGTAGGGTTGTAAGAACTTCGAAGAAGTAACCTTGATCGTGTTGGTGTTCTGCCGTTGCTAACACCATGTCACCCGACACGACTTCGAATCACTGATAACCTTGCTGCGAGTGCTACAGTTTGTGCTGGATCCCGCACATGTTTTGAAGCCACCCTGAACCTTTCTGCCCCATGGCCAGAGCTCCAACTGGATGTACGCTTAAAGCCCTAAGGCCATGTCGAAACAAAATCTGAGCCCCAACTGGCAACTAAAATGGAGTTTCTACATTTCAATGGGAGGTACTGTCTTTTGGTACGCACCCCTCTTGAACCCGGCAGCATGCCTGGGAGAGTCGTTCTCATCCTCCTGTTCCAGGATAGGTTGCACAACGCATGTCCACGTTCCCTTTCCGAATTAAGTCGCACTAAGCTTCCAAGCATCTTCAGATCCGTCTCAAAGTCACGCGTTGGTCATGTTTCGTCTGTCTCAGAGATGAGAATCTCCGTCTGACTTTCCGTATTGAAATGGCAGGTGAAAAGGCAGTGACCTCTCCGGAAGATGTGTAGCAGTTCAAAGGCGAAGCTTGCAAGAGGCAGCAAATGCAAACCAAGCCTCTCTTCGACGTGGTTTGCCACTATTAAACCCTAAACCCTAAACCCTAAACGTGCATTGAGCAGTTCGAATTTTGCCAAGGCGCGATGCCCATTCGCATCTGCCGCATCTTGCGCAGCTCCTGCTGCTTTTGCTGCCGAGCCTGCCATGGGGTGGGGTTTAGGGTTTAGGGTTTAGGGTTTAGGGTTTAGAGTGGTTTAGGGTTTAGGGTTTTGTGCCCTCGGTAGACCGTGCAGCCAGTCCATCTCGCTTCTCGCAGTTACCCACTATTCGGAAACCTGCCTGCAAGATCTGCAAGGTTCGGGCATTGCTCCGCTCCACATCGCGCAGGGCCTGTGTCGTTCTTGGGACGAGGTGCCAAAGGTTTCCTAGAGCCCTGGAGTGTAGGGTAAAACTTCTGTATGGGCAAGAGCAATGGCTGCGCTGATCGCAGGGCCCTCTCGACACAGGAGCGTGAACCCACGAAGCACCGAAAGCAGGACACAGTGCATTGATTTTAGCGTTTAGGACTTGAGGTCAGAGGTGGAGCGACTACGGTAGGGCTTCCCATCGAGAAGGTCAAGTCGAGGAAACGTGTCCTTCTCAGCGTTGTCATTTACACGGGGGGGGCGCATGGGTGCGCAATTACCTGGTTCTGCCACAAGGTAGTAAAGCTCACGAAGTTCCGTCAAGATAGCTCGCACCAAACACACTTCAAGACAGAACAAACTATTAACCCTAAACCCTACACCCTTTTGATTCTGACAATAACATTTATTCTGAGACTTCAAGCTGCTGGGCGCGAGGCCTTCAGCTGCTTCTCATTGGTGAGAAGCTGCCTGCAACGAAGGGGTTTATGCGTTTAGGGCTTCAGGGTGGCGGGGTGTAAGATCGTGCAATTGACTGCAAAGGAATAAAACCATATCTATCCATACTGCACGCGTGTCTACACAGCATCTCATTGTTGCTCTTTCCTATATAGTGTCGATGCGTTTGACGCATCGATGCTGCACTGCTACACAGCGACTTAGACCCTCTGCGCCCTGAAGCATCCTGAGGAGGTAACTCCTGAAACTCAGGACCGGGGCTTTGCTGCCATATGCAAAACCCACGTCTGTAGAATCAGAAACGGAACAGAGATATGGAGAGAACATGACAGAGAGAGAGAGAGAGAAAAAAAATAACCCACCAAGCACCACAACCACCATGAAAGTACTAAACCCTAAACCCTAAACCTAAACCCTAAAGCATAGAAGCCGTGCCTCTTCTCCTTTCTCAGCTGGTCGAGCTCATCTGACTCGACGGTTGCGCGCTTGAAAATCCTGTTGGCCATGAGATGTGCTTGCGGGTCTTTAGGGTTTAGGGTCTAGGGTTTGGGGTTTAGGGGTCTTTTGTTCCTCGGGCTCCGAGTTGGTATATCCGACAAGAACCTAAAATGTGATTCAGGCTCAGGGTTGGGTTCGAGACTGTTTGAGCTAAGGGCTCAACGCTTCGGGGGTCGGATCTGTAGCTACCGGTCGAGCGAGCACGAGTCCGTGAAGCCCTGAACCCTGGAAAACTACGCCCTGAAGCCAACAAGCAAACCGTAAAAGCTGTCAGATCCTAAACCCGGTTCAAACCCCCTTCATAATTCGCCCCCCAAGCACACAAGCAAACAGCCTGAACCCTAATTAGACCCTTTTTTGTGCGACTGGACCCAGTCAAACCCTAAACCCTTTTTTGTTGAACCCAGGCTCTGATCATCAGCTGGGAAGTCGGCCACCCTAAACCTTCAATCCCGAACCCTTAAAGCAAGCACATGGGTAGTTCTCTAAATCAGGGTCTTTTTTGGGGGCCCTTTTATAAGGGCGCCGTACTATATTGGGGACCTAAAAGGGGGCCCTAATTTNNTTTAGAGAACTACCCACATGTTGAGCGACTTGGGGCCCTCACCGGCTGTGCGCTTCACGGCTGCGTGCAGCCGCTGACTTCGCCCTGGGATGGACTTACTCAAACATCCTACGTCTGCGAATCGCACTGTTAAGGTTGAAGGCTCTGTGACTAAGGTTTCATGCTTCTTCCCTTCATATTCTGCTCACCTCCGCCATGTTTCTAATGAAAAAACAGCCCTCTGTCATCTGCTTGGAAGACAAGCCTGCCCTCAAGCCTCGGAGCCAACACTTGGTGTCGAGGTAGGACAGGACTTGCGTTATTTCAGGGTTTATAGGGTTCTTGGGCTACGACTCCTTCAGCACCTTATGAGAAATCAAAGTCTTTGGGTGAAAGGGTTCAGATCATGGTTCAGGGGTATATTCAACAACTGGAAGCTCTTGGACCTCAACGCCCCATAGCACGGACGGCCCTACAGGCCCCGCTCTCTTTAAAAGGGGCGGGCCGGCAGTTCCCTAGTCATATTGCAACCTAATGGGAGCTCGCAGGGGCCAACCACGTCCCGATTTTCGGTCATAGAGGGGTCTTTGGAATTCGGATAGGGTGCTGAGGGGGCTATCTTTATACTCTAGCTAGATTTGGAACCCGAAGGGATAGTACAAGTATTGTTGGTTCTTCCGCCTCCTACATTCGCCATGTTCGAGTTGTTGAGGTGAAGTTGAACCAGAACCCCAAGTAACATAGGGTTCCATTACCACAACCCGTAACCGCATGACTAGTACCAACGCTCCATATATTGGGCCCGGCCCTTCGCCGTCAGAAGACAGGCATCGACCCTGACAACCTGAACCCTCTGAGCCCTAAACCCTATGTAAGCCCTTTTTACACAGAAACCCTAAACCCTGAACCCTCTGAGCACTGTAAAGTAAACCCTCTCAAACCCTTTCCTGAACCCTCTGAGCTCCGAAGTAGAAACCCTCAAGGCCCTCTCAAACCCCATAAGCCTTAAGCCTCAACCCGGACCCTCAACACCCGAACCTCTCTCATGGGAGCACGTTGAACATTGAGCCAGTGACCGGCGCTTCTCCACAATCTCACGGACTCGGTTTTCCTGCACAGGCTGTCCCAAAAATTCGGCGCATTGGGTTGAGGCTTCAGCGTCTTAGAGGGTCCCACACGTCGAAGACGGTGCTTGTCGCTGCTGCTGTTCTCGTTTTGCTGTGCTCTGGGCCTGCGCTTCGACGGAGGCTCTACAACGAAGTTCCCATGGAGCCCCTGGGCTGAAACTACCTATAGTCTCCATTGTAGTTCCTTTTTTTGCTTTAACCAAATATATATATATATATATATATATATTAACGAGTTTATAAGGTATCCCCAAAAAGGAACTACAATGGAGACTATAGGTGAGCTCCTCGTTTCAAGACTGCTGTGTTTAAATGCTCGCGGTTAGGACTGCCGAATCTGGCATTTCTTTGATATTTCTCTTGGACATGGGAGTTTCCGAAAGTAAGGGGTACCTTATTTTGGGGTCCTTATAATAAGGATCCTACTATTTAGGGTGCTGTATTTGGGTCCCCTATTTTCGGAATCCCGCACATGTTCACACCAACTTGAACGCCAGGCCCTCTAATTGGCCTGAGTATCAATAGCGATGGTATCCCTCTAATTTTGCCTAAATCACAGGCAACCCATGCCCTGTTCTCATTATTCGGACCCCAATTTTTTCCGCGGCCCCTGGCCTCTGCAATGCGCTGATCTTCTGCCACCAGATCTACGGCGAAGGGGCTTTTCTGCATTCTCCTGTAGCCGAGACTCAGAGCTTTCTCCAGGGCTTAGAGTAAATCCTAAAAAATTGGAACATGGGTTTAGGAGGACTAGTGCCAGGATCCCTTGTACTTCACTTAAGGGTATGAGGAGAATGATGTTCCAACTTTCTGGCTTCTACTCTATGAAGGCTTAAGAGTGAAGGCCTTGCAAAAACAGACCTGTCCCGAATCGGGGGTGGCAAAGAACTTTCGGAACTTCGGGCGTCGAGTGCTTCAGGCTTTCATGGTGCCTTCTGATTAAGAGCTCCTTAGACCGCAGCATGCTACCAGCTCCATGCTCTCCCCGAAGCTCCGAGAGCCCAGTCGGAAGAGATTTTCAAAAATCTCAGGTCTCAGGACTTTACAAATCCTGACGCTTTGGGGTTTAGGGGTTTAGGGTGTATGCTTTGCGAATCGAAGGCTGCAAACATTCTCAAAGCTGGAACCCTGAAGCGGACTTAGACCCCAGAGCCTTCTGAGCCTCCTCAGAACCGCCTGCCCTAGGTCTCCAAGCATACAGATACTCCCTGCCTTGGGGTCTTTAAAGTTTACTTTAAAGTCTGTAAATTTACATACAGTAGTACCTACCTTGGGCAATCCAAAGCCAAGAACCTTAAAATTTTTCTGTGCAAATACATTGGAGGATTCCTTGCCCACCGTTCATCGCGGTCGCGCTGCGAAGCTACCAGGCGATCCAAGTACACGCGCCTTCCACTGAGAGCTCTCTGGGTTTAGGGTCATCATGGGTCTTTGGGTTTCAGGGGTGTTGCTTTTGATTAAGAGTCTGAGTCGAGGGTTTGCCGCCCTTCGATATTGTGTCGGATTGAAGGTGCATCCATCGTTGTGTTGCAAGAGGGCGATGTCACTGTCGCTCAGGGACTGCGGGGCAAGCGGTACGTGGACTGTGGAAAACTCTTTTCAGAACACTGGGGAGAGCATATAACATCGCGCCCGGTTCACCACGATGGTGTCTGTAGGCCCATCTGAATGTGCCAAAAGTCTTGACCGAGCGCCATGGGGATCTACCACGAGGCTGCCGTGAAGCCAAGGCCCAGCATTCCTAAACCCGAAATCCTTCTGAAAGCCTTACAGCACTTTAATGGAGCCCTTGAAGAACCCTCAAGGCAACCCTTAACCCTTGGGCATGTGCTCCGATTTCCGCCTGTCTTGCTTCAGGTCATTTTTCACCGCATCCCGCTGGGCGAAGCGGATGCTCATGATCTTCGTGGACTCCTCTCGTGCCTGAAAGGCTTGGCACATTGTTCACGGTGGCGTTATACCGCGAAGGGAATAGGCAGCAAACACCAGAAACCGTTTCAACACAGCGATTTTCTTTATTCATACTTACATTTATGTGTGGGCGGGCGCGGGATTCAAACCAAATCTCTGGTTTCCTCGCTCACAACTCGGAGAATCCAGGCGCCGGCACGGGGCTTGGTGAAACCCGACGGGACTAGCAAGCTCTGGTTTGGGGTTTCTAGGGTTCCCACGAGCCAGAAGCCTCCTGAAGCCCAAAAACCTGAAGCTTCCTGAAGCCCCAAAACCTGAAGCCTCCAGAAGTCCAACAAGACAGGAGTGAATCCTCCAGCGGCCTTGGCACACATCTCGAGCCTGCGGAGCAGCCGTTCGCGCTCCTGGACCGCGAGATACTATCACTTTCTAGAGAGTCTTAGCAAGTGGAATAAGTCTCCGGAGTACATTCTAACATATTATATAGGGTTATGCTGAGGTACTTGTATATTTTGTTAGGGTTGTTATAAGGTAGTTGTACTCATCATTCTGGCTTCTACATTGCTCCCAGGTTATCCAGGCCTCGGGTGTTGACGGGAGATCGCAGCTATTGGTTCGACTTACGGTCTGATCAAGAATAGAAGCGAAGGAAGTGTCTGAAACGCAGCAGTAGTCACAATATCAGGTCGAAACGATGAGTACTGGAAAACAAGACAGCCAGATCCTGGAAATTGCCGAAAACCCCAGCCCCAAGGGTTCAAGGATTGAAGCCCCTTGAAATTTCACCTGCAAGCCCTAGACAGCCAATAAATCCAAAATCCGAAGAGTTGCAAGCTGACTGCAAAAGGATCGCACTACTTGTTCAGGCCTCTGTAATGTTGGGGCCTAAATAATTACCTATATTATCATTTTGGGGGTTCCTTATTGTAATTATAGTATAATGGGCCCCAGAACCCTCTTCTAATTACCAAGACCCCTATATTACTTAAGCCTGAAGAGTCTGCCTCCGTGTTGGTGGACTGTGGCAGCAAGTGGGACCTAAACGTTCCGCAGGTTTGTGGGAGCGGGGGCACGGTCTTTAGGGATTTGGGGTCGACGTGCTTTGTGGAGCTTTGGGATTTCGGGCTTAACGGGCTTTGGGTTGAGGATGCCATGGGGGCCCTAAATTTGGGGGGGATTTATGTGCTTGCCGCCTGGCCAGGGCGAATTTTGACGTGTTGAAGGGCTTCGATTTGCGGTCCAGTGCTTTTGGCTTGAAGCCGTTCCTCGGTTGAGGAGCTTGGCTGGCCGAGCCCTGGTCTATGAGGTTTACGAGTTTATCTTTAGGGTTCACGGTTCGATGTCAGGTCCTCGAACTGTAGGGGCCTTCATAATTAGGGTTTTGGGGTTAAGTTTTCCAGGAGCATCCAAGTAATGCATT